GGCATATTTATAATATAGAGTCATTATGCAACAATACTGGAAAATTTCACTACGTTCCAATTACCAATAAGGTCACATGAGCTTTCTGAACACTGATAGTTGTAAAATCCGGGGGAGACTTCGACGTAACGTCAAGTTAAGTATGTCATGTCATGTTATAGGAGCATCTCACCCTCATGTTCAATTCAACTAAGTAATTCTACAGAATATTCTGCCTTTTTCTCCTTTTTTCTCTCAAGAAAAGCCTGGGTATCCACCAATCGACTTATCTTTATATTACATTCATATTTCAAAAATACTCCCCATCTTTCCATATGATGTTCCAATTCAGTAGCAAAGTCAAGCACAGTACGTCAACGGTCAACATCTATCAACGCTTAATTTGTCTACGAGAAAAACAGACCCTCCAAAAGCAGCCACACCATGGAAGTTCTATTGTTCTTAAATTTCTCACGCCACTGGAAAATCAGTTGCTAAATGCATTTTTCTCCAGCCTGTATCAGTAGTATACCCCATTAAGTCAGAATGTTCCTAAGATTTTAACAAAACTTATAACTTGACTGAAATGTGACGTTCTCTAACAATTAAAAGATGAACAAGAAATCATCAACTAATAATCTAAATATCAAGTTAAATCAGTAAAACTCTCACATACAGGTATATTAGTGGTCAAGCAATCGTAATTATGACAAAATTCTCATTTTATTTGCCACTTGGTGCAGGTTTTTTCTTATATCACGTATTAAGAATTAAAATGATAATGAACAAGTAAATGTCTCCCCTGCATTTTAAAACATCCTTTGCTATGGCAACTGCCATAGAGTTACTATCATTAAAATTTAAAATATTTTTTTATCAAAAAAATTCAACAAGTGTCTATATTCTTATTTGTAATTTTCAACCACTTTCACAAATAAATAAATAAAATAAGAAGAAATTCCATGAACTTTCGGATCAATCCTCGTACATGTCAGTCATTAAATTTATATAATATACAGTATGCATAAGGGAGACCAAATGTATTATTACTGCATTAAGGAGACCAACCACTATCCATATGTAAATCAGTATTCAACCACTTTCACTAATAAATAAATAAAATACGAAGAAATTCCATGAGCATTTGAATCAACCCTCGTACATGTCAGTCATTAAATTTATATAATATACAGTATGCATAAGGGAGACCAAATGTATTATTACTGCATTAAGGAGACCAACTACTCTCCACATGTAAATCAGTATTCAACCGCTTTCACTAATAAATAAAAAAAAATATGAAGAAATTAGTGATGAGACATCAGTTAATTTTCATAATCGATCATCGGTTGGAATCGGTTACTGCTTCTGATGCGATTTCACCGATTATAATTGGATTTCTTCATAGTTTTGTATACAAAAAGCAGACTATTACAATAATTTTATTTATTTCTTTAACATGAATATATAAAATACATAATATATTATTTTCTTTGTTGTTTTGCTTCTTTTACACTTTCTAGACCTAAAAATATTTACAGTGGACACCCAACATGGCTGCCTAGCGGCAGAAAACGAACTTCAAAAAGTCGTAGGGGGAATTGATCACTCTATATTTAAGGTAAATGTTGACTAAGTTGCATATTTTATATCTCAAATAAAAGACACAATTAATATTTTTTGAATAAAAAGAATCAGCTGATTGATCAAACCAAAGAGCAAACACAGATTTGGCAGAAAAAAAAATTCACCCGGGGGTAAATTGAATGGGTCGGTCGGGTTATTACAGGAAACAAAAATAATTTTTTTAGGCCCTATATATGCATCTTCGGTTCTTAATCACCTCTGCTTCGTGCTAGTTGGCTAGTATCAGATGCAGATGCCATTTTCTTTCGTTAAGAAGAAATAAATTTTAAACCAGAAATGGATAATTCCGGAATGTATTGTATTAGAAGTATGTTTCCAATGATCGATTATGAAAAACTATAATCGATCATCGGAATCGGTAGCATTTTTTTGTCGACAATCGATGTTTTCTGATTATCGGTACAACACTAGAAGAAATTCCACGAACTTTTGGATCAACCCTCGTACATGTCAGTCATTAAATTTATATAATATACAGTATGCATAAGGGAGACCAAATGTATTATTACTGCATTAAGGAGACCAACTACTATCCACATGTAAATCAGTATTCAACCACTTTCACTAATAAATAAATAAAATATGAAGAAATTCCATGAACTTTTGGATCAACCCTCGTACATGTCAGTCATTAAATTTATATAATATACAGTATGCATAAGGGAGACCAAATGTATTATTACTGCATTAAGGCCAACATTTTTTTTATTTTCTGTTTTACGGGAATTTTTTTCAAAAATTTGAGTCGGGGGGTCGAAATAAAAATAAAAGCTCGAAATTTAAGCAGTCGGTCAGAAAAATAAAAATAAAATGAAAAAATGCAATAAAATTTTTTATTTTTAATTAAGGTTGGAATTTTATTTGTATGACCTTAATTTGTTAGAAAAACAGTGCTATTTGAAAAACTTATGTACATAAAACACAGAATTGGTACTGTTTTGGAACTATTTTAAATTTAACTTTCTCCTAGATATTTGGGGCAGGGGTGCATTTCTAGTATAAAACTTGCAGTTTCTAACATTAACGCAAATCAAACATACAAATCTATAGTCTTCTCTCAGTTGTCAAATATCATATTGTCACCACAGGAAACCTATAGGACTTCTGTCACACCCCTCATAAACTTTTCAGAATCTTTTATTTTTCGGTATTCAGCAAATTACAAGATCTGAGGATTTTGGACTAGTTCTGGCAAAGTTATGGAGAAAATACAGTGAGACATTCAATGGATCAGCTAAAATAAATTAATTCACAGAAGTGCACATGAGACATGAAAAAAAGAAAAGTTGTATAATATTTTTTTTTCAACGCACTTCCAATTAATATATACGTAGGTGGAAAAAACGTACCACAATATCTCTATTGAAAACATATTCAAACTTCCTCAATCTGTAGTATATATATCTTTTTATCCTTATATTTTCTTTCTGAGCATGCTAACTTTCAATATAATTGTAGAAAATACACATCTTTCCCATAGTATAGACATGTAAAATACACATGACAATATTCTGTTTACTGCAGAATTTAAAAATTTAATTGTTGAAAAATGGTTCTAATCCACAACTGTTGAATGAAAAAAGAAACCAGGTCTTGAATTGAAATAATATTTGTAAGGGTGTATCAATTACAACAGTACTTTTCCCTAGTGGTAAAAAAAAGTTGTTTTACTAAACAAGAGCTATACATATACACTACATCAGCTGATATGAATACGCTGAACAATCAATGTACATTAATTTGTTACATAGCACGCAAAATTCCATAAAGCGACAAAAAAGGAGATAATGTCTTGTATCAATCAAGCATATATACTGATATATTTTCGTAGGTAATTCTGAATTCCAATATTTGTCATAAAACGAGTGAAAGTTGTGACTCGAATTTCCTCAGTCACGCCACTTTCTACCAGTTCTACATAGTTCTAGTGTTCTGTCGTTACTTGTAAAAGAAAACATTTCTGTCTTAAAATTAAGTTTAAAAAATCTTCAAGACGTATTTCAATATATTGAAGCAATTGTCAAAGATAATACGTACTCAGAACCTTTCAAAACAAACGGTTGACAGAACCTCGATTTCCACGTGGCCCTCCGCATGACATTTGATCAAGATCACTGATTCGTCTATTTCATTCAATCTTTCATTAAAATTTATACTTTTTCTAATATATAACATTGACACGTCACTTTTTTAAACTGACTATTTAAAAACACGTGAAACCCTCCGATTCTGACATTTTGGCGCTATGCTGTGCAGTGACTCTTCACGCAACGAATACTGTTATTGGATAAATCTATTTACCTCAGCCAATGACAAATCGCATTTTGAAAGGCTTGTAAAAAGGTTATTTATATTTCTTTTGTTTTTTCAGAAACTATAAATAAACTATTGGCGGGAGAAATAAAAATGAAACTTGAATTGGGAACTTTTATTTTTATTTCATTTTAGCCCAAATTAGGGTCGGCGCTCCCGTAAAACAGAATATAAAAAAAAGTTGGCCTAAGGAGACCAACTACTCTCGATCCACATGTAAATCAGTATTCAAAACTTGAGATTTTAATACCCTAATAATTTACATGTTTAGTTACATGAACTAAATCTATTTACCTTTGTCATAATGCAAGAACTGTTTTACATTCAGCCAACTTTAACATTACACATGCATACAGTGTATGCCATGCATTAGGAAGACCAGATGCATTATTTCAACATTAAAGAAACCAACTTCAATGGAACAATTAGACAGTATTCCAAAATGTTCATTCCAATACCATGGTATTTTCCCTTAATTTGTTTGTATTTAGATGACTTAAATCAATTTATCTCAGCCAGAATTGGAACAAAAAAACTAATCATAAAAGTGGCCAAACACATGAACAGACAGATGGACATGATGATTCCTATGCTTATATACACCCAAAGTTGCCAAAGTAGAGCAGATGCAGTGGTTAGAGCATCTACTCTAGAGTCGCGGAGAAAGAAGCTGATTCTTACATCGCGAGTTTGAATCCCACTGTGGGACATGGAGACCCGTTCTTCAGATGAGACAGAGGTATTAACCGAGGTCCCATGTCACAGTAGGTGCTGGCTCGATAAAGATACCTCAATGCTCAATGGCCATAAGTGCTGAGTATAGGACAAAAATTTGCAGCTCTCCACCGACAAGTGGTGGCGTCTCCATATGAGTGAAAATTCTCAAGAGGGACGTTAAACAACAAACACTATACACCCAAAACTTTGTTTGCAGAAGATTTTGTGATACATGCTTTACAAGTATACATATTGTTCATAAGGGAATAAAAATGCTATAATATATCATTAAGGAAAGCAACTGAACTTAAATGTGCACTTCTAATTGAACTAAACAAAATTACCCTTTGTCAGAATGTAGATTTATAAACAGGAAGGCTGTTTTTCTTAATTTTTTCCATGTCAGATTCAGACTGTTCTTGAAAAAATTCTGGCATACACCCTGTAAAAGTGAACAGTGCAGATAATAAAGAGCTTCTAAATAAACTGCATAATATTTAAATGATCCACTTAAAAGGGATAACAAATGCATTTAACTCCATCAAGGAGACCAACTGATATCCATATATATATAAATCAGTACATGTATTGTAATTGTGATATTTTAATATCCTAGTAATTTACATGTTTAGTTTCATGAAATAAATCTATTTACCTTTGTCCAATGACCAATGAGCACAAGCACTGATTTTTCCTCTTTTTTCTTAACGGAATCACCAGGGCCAGTCTGCGGTCCATATGATTCTGGCATATGTACACTCTGTAAAATGCATATTTGTACCATGTACAGGCATATGAACAATATTTCTATACTACATACATGCATCATTAAACTTAATAATCTTTTTTTCCCAAAATTCATTATTCATAGTGTTTTGCTGTTAGCAAAATTCAACAAAAACTATACCGTATATATACTTGCCTATAAGGTGGTCCACCTATAAGTCAGTTGTATTTTTTGAGGTTATTTTGGAGGGATTTGCTATTGACCCGCTTATAAATCAGTACAACTTTTTGCCAGAATCAATTGACAATTTCAAATCAATGCTCTGATGTTTTAACCTGGTTTCAAAATACTAATCTTTTTATGACTCACCTATAAGCTGGACATAGAGTATATACAGTACCTGCATTATACATGCATTAGGAAGACCAAATGCATTATTGCAATATTAAAGAGACCATTGTGGCAAATGAAATCAATGTATGAATTGTATTCAAAACTACGGGTGTACTAATTTGTCTGAAGTATATCATGATATAATGTGATACACAAAGACTTTAACAGGATATGTACATATACCCACATGCCTAAATGTAACAACAGGAATTATCGTTCTACAATAATTTACTGAAATTGCCAATATGAATAAACAAAAGCAAACTTTGTTTCGATTGTATGAACTTTAAGTTTTCTTTTTACACCACGGTCAGATAATCTAACTATCCCCTGGTTGGCTACTGGGTCCTTCGTTAGATTGCCTTATCGAACATGATATTTACTGAAGATTTGATTTTTGGTACTGACTTTTATACTCAAAATAATGTCTTTAATTGTTTAATTTCTTGAGTTCAATATCACTTTGATGTGTTCAGTGTTTACTTTGATATGTAATGATGTGTATAAGCGTGTATTTTCGATAATTTAAATTTCTAGTACAGTAATCGTCCCCAAGCTGCTGTTTCATTATCGTGTCATAGTATCTCTGAGAGTGCATTTTATTAACACCTCCAAATCACCTGGCCTGCGTAATTAAATTTAACTACCAAAAACAACAGCTTGGGACTAATAAGGTGTGATTATCAGCAATGGTCCCATGAAGCCTGTGCTAGACCTAATGGAAACGTTCAACAGACCGTAAAATTAGCATAATGGGATTATTGTGTACTAAGGTGTGAATTCAGCGGAGCGAGAATTTGTTGGACTTCGAGATAACGCATGTGTTTATAGCACTTGGGACCGTAAATCTACTTCGAGATAAGCGAGGTATTCGAGATTTCCGTGTTCGAGATACCGGGGTTTTTTAAAATCATAAATATAATAAAAACGGCCGGGACCGTTGATTCACTTCGAGATATCCGTGGTATTCGACATACCGGTGTTCGAGATACCGAAGTTTACCGGTATATCGATACATATCTAGATTAATGAATATATCGTATCAAAAACAAGAAGCCCATGGGCCACAATGCTCACCTGAGCACATTGGCTAGGAAAAAGCACAAATCACTTCAGTATTGAAAAGTTTAAAGGGGAGGGGGCTTGGATTTTGAACTACCTGAGGATGCTTCCATATCAATATAACAAATGGCTTTACTGTTCTTGAGCAGAAGATTTTTTAAGATTTTTTTCCTATAAATTCCCTTTTTAAAAATTTGATCCCCCATTGTGGACCCTCCCTAACCCCCCCCCCCCCCCCCAATCATTTGAACAAACTTGAATCTACACTACCTGAGGATGCTTCCATATCAATATGACTAAACATGGCTTTTCTGTTGATGAAAAGTTTTTTTCCCTATATATTCCTATGTAAAACTATGATCCCCCATTGTGGCCCCACCCTACCCCCAGGGGTCATGATTTGAAAAAACTTGAATCTACACTACCTGAGAAAGCTTCCATATCAGTATGACAAGACATGACTTTGCTGTTCTTGAGAAGAAGATTTTTGAAGTTTTTTCCTATGTATTCCTATGTAAAACTTTGATCCTCAATTGTGGCACCACCCTAACCCTGAGGGTCATGATTTGAACAAAGTTAAATCTACACTATCTGAGAATGCTTCCATATCAATATGACTTAACAAGGCTTTGCTGTTCTTGAGAAGAAGATTTTTCAATTTTTTTTTTCTGTATATTCCTATGTAAAACTTTGATCACCCCTTGTGGCCCCACCCTACCCCGAGGGGTCATGATTTGATACAAACTTGAATCTTCACTACCTGAGGATGAATCCATATCAATATGACTAATTGTGACTTTGTTGTTCTTGAGAAGAAGATTTTTCAAGATTTTTTTCTACATATTTCTATGTAAAATTTTGATCCACCCATTGTGGCCCCACCCTACCCCTGGGGGTCATGATTTGTACAAAATTTAATCTACACTACCTGAGAATGATTCCATATCAATATGACTAATTGTGGCTTTGTTGTTCTTGAGAGAAAGGTTTTTAAAGATTTTTTTTCTATAAATTCCTATGTAAAATATTGATCCCCCATTGTGCCCCACCCGACCCCCGGGGGTCATGATTTGAACAAACTTAAATCTACACTACCTGAGGATGATTTCATATCAATATGACTAATTGTGGCTTTGTTGTTCTTGAGAAGAAGATTTTTAAAGAATTTTCCTATGTATTCCTATGTAAAACTTTGATCCCCCATAGTGGCCCCACCCTACCCTCGGGGGTCATGATTTGAACAAACTTGAATCTACACTATGTAATGAAGGTTTCCCATAAGTTTCAACTTTCCTGGTCCAATGGTTCTTGAGAAGAAGATTTTTAAAAGAAGACACCAAATTTTCACTTATTCTTAATTATCTCCCCTTGGAAGAGGGCATGGCCCTTCATTTGAACAAACTTGAACCCCCTTTACCCAAGGATGCTTTGTGGCAAGTTTGGTTGAAAATGGCCCAGTGGTTCTGGAGAAGAAGTCGAAAATGTGAAAAGTTTACAGACGGACGGACGGACGGACAGACGGACTACGGACAAAATGTGATCAGAAAAGCTCACTTGAGCTTTCAGCTCAGGTGAGCTAAAAATGAGTAAAAAACAATTATTATTTTTATAAAATTCATGCATAATGATTTATAAGACTTTTTTGACAGAATTGTTAAAGAATTCAATATATTGCATATCGCATTAAAAAATGTCTTTCTTTTTTTTTTTTTTTTTTTGCTCAATACACAGCCCTAGCAAAAATGATATACAACAAGGACTTTGATTGGATTATTAACATTCATACGATTGATCATAATTATTAACTGTTATTGCACTTTCATTTTCAAAATATTGTTAGGTACATTGTTTGTTCACTCTTTTGCATTGATGTTATAATTTATAAAAGAGTATTTTAGCAGAAAAAATTATCAATTTACCTTTCTTGGAATAAAGACATGTTGACCCTTGAGCTGAGATTTTCTCTCTTTCCATAGATTTGTTACACTGGGGTCCACATGATTCTAGCAGAGACCCTGTAAAAAAGGACTTAACTATGGAAAAGCATGAAGAATATATGCCTATTATACATATCTTAAATTCTAATGAAAACAATGTTTTTAATTAAGATCCATATATTTCTAATGATTGACATAATACAAATTCAAAATAAAATATGCATGTCTATATTATACACTGTACCTTAAGCAGACCAATTGCATTATCACATCCTTCAGGAGACCAACTTAAATCAATGTTTGAGAACTACTTGTGAGAACAATAAATTTGTCTACTTTACAGTACTAAATGTACATGGAATCTATAGGATCATGTTACTTTAACTGGCCTGCCTTAGTTCAACACAGTAATCTAACAAAGAAATTGAGCCAAAACAACATTTTAAGACTTTTTGAACAGTGCATGTTCCTATCATTTCAAAACCATTACACTGTACCAGTAAAAATGCTAATATAGGAAAATGATGACAATTAATTAATATTGTACTTTCAGGTATATTAGATGAATTAATCTGATTTGTCAAGAAACATTTTTTAAAAAGCACTATTATCCGCTGAATAATGAAGCCACGCCCAGTGTCGCAACAGTCAACATTGCTTGACGACGGGTGATATTCCAAAAAATAGTGACTGCGCAGATTTATGCACTCAAGGTTCACCATTATTTGTATAAAACATTCAGTATAATACAATAAATATTGCATGTAGTTGAGTGTAATATTGAAAATTTTCACCCCTCGAAAACCAAATACGTCAAAAAGGGGATGGGTTTCTTTTCCAACTTCTACATAGTTTCGCCCCTGCAAAAACTGGTAAAGACCTTCGCAGTACAGTTAAGACAACATTTTCTATAAAAAGGCACCAAAAACGAGACACTTAAAGTTCAACTGTCTTATTTTTTATCATGAAACTCTATCTGAAATATCTTAATGGCTTTATGAAGAGTTTGTCCATCGCTTTTCACATCGATATTTTTTGTCATCATGTGACCCTCTACAGTCACGTGAGCTCCGATTTTAGGTCAAAATATGAAATGTCAAATTTAACCTAAAAGTGCAAGGGCAAGGCAAACAATATTTGAATTGCACAATGTTTCATTGTGTTCCTTGGTATCTCTCCTATCGAAAAACTGATGCTCATTCAGTCAGATTTCTGAGATATTTAAGTTATTCATTGAAAACAAACACCAGTATTCAAAAATAGGGTAATTTTCATCATTTAACCGGAAATTTTAAATTGCCTAATGAATTACAAAGAAATGAGCATCACTTTTTAAAAACTATACAATAAAATAAAGAATTTAAAATAAAAACCTACCTCTTGGGTTGTCACCTTGCCCTTGCACTTTTTGATTAAAAATTGAAATCTTAACACATTCATTCTAAATATAGTTTTCAAACGCATCACTGACCCATCATGGGAGATAACTCTGTGGTACTTAATAGAGTTTGTGTACCTCTCAAATTTTAAACAAATAACACCTACGGACTGTGCTTGGCTTTATTTCACTAAATCAAAACGGTATGCATAAAAAAAATCCTTGATTTCACTTTGTTTTGTATATTTTATACGCTATACAAGATGTATTTGACACCTACCGCATTTCCTCCGTTCGTCAACAATTAATAGGCCTAAAATTTGCCGCAACATCCATCATGTAAATCAATTGGAAAATGTCCATGGTTAAAAATATTGAAAGATTCAATCATTTGTAATAAAAAATAGATAACCCCTATCAATGATAAAATATTTATGCCCCCCAGTAGACACACAGAAAAAATATCTCCAACAGATTTTTTTTTTTTTCCATATAATATTATTTTAGTTACCAAACCTTCAACTGTTTAGGGATTCTAGACTACGTTAAAAGTTTTAAGAACAGGAGGAAGGGATGGGGGTGCTTACTACTGTATTTAATAACCTGCTTTTTTCTTTCTACAGATCTGACCCCCCCCCCCCTTCTGCATCACTAGTTTGCCTCTGGCTCCTTTGATACCATATATATACATGTACCTTACTTGCATGTTAAAAATAAATTATTAAACAATGTTGACATCAGGTTTTACTTATTTGGGTATTGTAGCACAAATCACATTTGGGGGGAAGGGGGGGGGCGTAAGTCTAATTTTTTGAGTTATTATCAATCCATGCGCAAACAAGATAATCATAGTAAAAACTTTGTAATCAAGAAACAGATACTCTGTAAAAGAACAGGTGAACACAATTAATATACATGCTGAAATTTAGATCTTGTTTTTTTTCTTCTTTTTTAACTTTCATCACAAATATAATTAATTTCAATTATTAACAAAAATAATGTTATATTTCAAATCATATTCTAGTGGATCACAGCATTCAAAGGTTGATATTTTCTCGAAGATCTTTAAAATAATTATCAATGTGTTGTAGAAGAATTACAAATTAATGAATGTTTTATTTGGTTTTGGCAATGATTTAATAAAACATTACAACATTTTTTAATAAAGACATGATAATATAAAAATGGAATCGAAACAGTATGAAATAAATTATTTGAAACACAAATATTTGCTGGATGGTATTGATATTTTTTCTCTTCTCACAAATCTCTCACTTCCCTCCCCCCCCCCCCCCCAATTTTTTTTATTTGAAAATGATGTGTACGCACCTGCGTATTTGCGTACAGGCAGCTACGCGCCTGTCAGAATACATGCAAGTAAAGATATTCAGACCTTAACAACCTTCAAACTTTCACACCATTGTACTGTTAAAAATTCAAAGTATTATTTATCTAGAAAATTTATTTAATTAAAAACAGCTTTTCAAATTCAAAGGCAGGCTGTGAAGGGATTTCTGAGCAGGTGAAAAAAATATTTCAAACAGTCCACAATTCAGACAATTCTTCTGGATGAAATCAATTCTGAAAACAAAATGAAATACCATTACGGAAAGTTCACTGAGGTTTTAAAAAAGTGATACTCAAAACAATGCATTGAGTAACATGGAAAGCATATACATGACTCTACTGTTTTTATTATCAAAACATTTCAATAATCTTGCTAGGAATATGTATGGTTTATAGCTAATATGGAGCATACCTTATTATCTTATTGGTGCAAACACTTGCTGCCTGAATGAATTGTCCAAATTGTTTGGGAGTAGCTACAACACAATATATATGTAATGAGTGAAATACATAATGATTACTATTGTAGAATGAAATGACACTGCATTGTGCAAAACAAACCATGCTATACTATATTTTCTGAATTTCATAAAATAAATGGAAACAAACTTTTGATACAAAACTTATCTGGGAAATTAAAACCTATGACATTTGCAAAAGTAGAATTGGTAGCTATACTTAATTTAAGTAAAAAAAAATTAAATCAATATACTAGAGATAACATTTAATTCTTTCACCTATACACAATTCTAAAAAAAAAATATTTAACACTGGCATACTATAAAATTAATGTGAAATGCTTTAGTGTGATCATACCCAGTGGAGAAATTGATGCATCTATTTTGATAGTTCTGTCTGATGTAAATGCCAGTTTTAACCAGTTCTGTGACAGCTACAATGATAAAAGAATTATAAATATAAACACTTCATAAATACATGTACATGTATATACATGTACATATAAGACTGATTTAATGTACATGTAGTCAGACAAATGAAAATTCAAATATTTTATCTTCATTAATGTAGAATATCTACAAATTTACAGCCTAGTGATACAGATAGATAAAAATTCTACGGATGAATTTAAAATATGAACCACTGGTAAAAATGCACATATTTTTGATTGCCAGAGGTATAAATTAAAATTTATAGGGTCTTATACTCTTGTACATGTATGTACAGTGCACATACAGTGTACACTGTGCAGTTTGACTCCACAAAATATACATTGTGTGACTACATCTAAATTATAATTTGATATCATGACGTCCTGTGCTTATATTATGTTACATGTTTGTATATGTATGCCAATGGACAACATCATGTTTAAAAGTGTGCAACTTTCATAATGTGTGTGTGTGTGGGGGGGGGGGGGGATACACACAAGGCACTGCATTACAGTTTGTGACGGACTGTAATGATATATGTTATTGTACATGTTCACAATTATTTTACAGCGCTGTAAAGAAAAGTATGTCTACATGTTAATACCTATGCGTATACATACCTTAATGAACAGAAAGGGACCTAGGGAGGTAGTGCGGATTGTCTCAGTTTTCCATGATTTCCCGAAATAACGTCATCATCTTCTCATCGAAAAGATAAACAAGGCCCAGGTCTCTCATTTTATCCCTATTCTCTTTAAAGATTGCCTGATTGTTGCATTTATCCACTGCATATCTCAGCTGCTGTCGCCACGTTTTTAGATGTAAACAACATTCCGTGTCACCGAGTGCAAGCGCTTGGCTGAAGCCGAATGCAGCCAAACGACACAATAAAAAGAGAATTATTTCGAAGACGTGTTGTTACTATATAAGAGAAAATCACTAATGTTTAGTTAATTAAACACGAAAATACAGACATTCATTACAAATTCTCGCAATCATCATTAAATAGTTTTTTTGAGCTCTATTTCCTTATATAGATCTATCAAGGCGGAGCAACTGTCATGACGTCAAACCTCATTATGACCTCATTACCATATTATCTTCATGTGTAGCCTTAACTGTACTGCGTTGGAAATGTTTAAACGGGCTAAGAGAAATCAAATGCATCAAGAGTACTTAATTGTTTTTACCCAAGTTACATGCCAAAAAAGATTCAGAGAGACGTCACATAAAGTTAATGTTGATTTGAACTGAAGTTAGGGTGTCAAAAGTCATTCACGTCCAAAAGTGACATTGATCATGTGTGGTAGATAATAAACTCCTACGAGCTAAATATGCTGCCATAATCAAGTGAGGATCTTTCCCTAATCCTATATATAAATCCATTTACAATATTATATGCACTTAAGCAGCTGTTTATGACATTGTAAAATTATATAAACAAGACCGGTTTATATAATTTATATCAATTTATATAATTAATAATATAATTTATATATAATTTTATCAAGATAAGTGTATGGGGTAGAGGGAGCAGACATTGAGAATCAATGTTGTCGGACCTCATGAAACTAAACAAACAGTCTTCCAAATAACCCGGGAGTCCAATGCCAGGGACCTGTTAAATTTGCAGCCGGGCATGTAAAAATTGCCAAATTACATGTCCGAAGAGGGCATATGTGAATCTTCTTTCATTGTATGATCTTTACTTGCCATTTATTCTGTCCTTCCCCCATTATTCGCTTGAACGTTGCTATATGTAATGTCGATGGATTGCCTGTCTACATTCTCGATACGACCTGTCAAATGATTGTCAATCTAATCATTGAAGTGTTTAGTTTAACCTATTTGTTTTCTCGAAGTTGCTTGCTAAATTACGAGATGTTCATCAATGCCACATACTGTGGCACTACAGTCATGATCCCATTTCTGAAATTCAGTTCAGCTAAACCGGCCAACAAATGACCAGCATGCAACTCAAAAGTTATTTATGAACAAAAACGCTTTAGAAAATGGCAATCACAGGCCATGGTTGGTTTACGATGCTGAAAAAATTAATATAAAACCTTTATACCTAATGGTTTTTTTTTGTTGCACAAAACTGGTAAATGTAAGAATTTTGAGTAGGACATGTACAAATTTGAATGGGCTGGGTAAAAATGATAGGTCTACATGCCCGAAGGGCATGTGCTGAAAAAGAATTGTTGTGAAGACTGAACTAAAGCGACAGCGCCGGGTGATCATATAAAGTCCCCTTTATTACATAATAATTTGGCAAATTATCAACACATCAAGCTAAAATTTCCAACATATCTTAATGGTGAGAATTTTTATTTTTTAAGTTGAAACCTCGTGACCTGTGAAAAAAATGAAATTTGTATCCCATCTAAAGTCTTAAAATGTATCAAGGTAATTTTCGATACAAATTTGCGGTTGGGGTTATAAATGAAGGATGAAACCAGAGACCTCGGAATGGAATACTCGGAAGTCTCTGGTTTTATTCTATCCCCAACTGGAAGTTGTATCCCATCTGAAGTCTTAAAATGTATCGAGGTAATTTTCGTGGAATAAATGAGTGTTTTACAATAAAGAGACTCGACCAGAGACGTCTGAAACGATTTATTTGACAAGAAAAAAGTCTCTTGAAGCGAACGATGTCATTTTAATGTAGGTTAATGATTGATAATGATACATGAACAAAATACGAGCTTGAAGCGGGGGTGCCTGAAATTGAGTTAGATACCTTGTGGTAAAAATAAGTAGGGGTGCACCGTATATGAAACAAGTGCCTGTGATTGATAGTCTGAAATTTCTCTTCACCTAAATATTAAAAGCTTGCAGTGATCGCTATAAATCTATACAACAGTCAAGTTACATACGGTAAACTAACATAAAAACAAGATTACAACAGTCATGATTACAGAAGGTATATTTTGAAGACTCTAGGTCAGTAGGTGAATGTTATGTAAACAGGTAAACACACGTGGGACAGTCACCGCAAATATGAACCACAAAACGACTTGTAACATTAAAATGTAAATATTCATCTGCACACAGATTTTTGCATAATAATAATAATTTTTAAAAAGTGTAAATTAAAATATAAAATAAACAAACCTCAAACCTTGTAACAAGGCTTGTTTCCCTACAAATCTTATTCTGGTTCTCTGTCACTGAAAATGCAGGGAACCAGGCTGCGTTATTAACTCGTACACAGATTTGTTGATACGAATAAACCTATAAACATATATACGAAATAAAATATTATCATAAAAAATGAAGAATTTCAAATTGCTTGAAAAATTATCTTTATGTAGTTTATAATAAATGGTTGTAATTGTTTATTAATTTCTATCTATCCATTAAAATTTGATACGTATATCAGCTTAATATGTGTTCGTCTGAACAATTATTGTTATTACACTCCCTGTCACATCTTCATAGTTAAGCCTGTAAGCATGGTAAGAAGGAATCAATTTCAGTTGAAGGGGACCAAAACCAACATTTTTCAGTTTCATTTGGTGGGGAGGGGGGGTATAAACCTCAAATGATCATTTTATCTCTGTCACTGAACTGCTGAAAATAATGAAGGGAACTAGGCTGCGGCAATGATTTGTTGACTGAATTAAAATACGAAATAAATTATCATACATACGAAATAAAATAATTTCATAAAAAAATGAAGAATTTCCAATTGCTTGAAAAAAAAGAAGCTTTTCATGTATGTGATTTACAATAAATGGTTGTACTTTTATATTTTCTATATATCCATTAAAATTTCACAGTATCAGTATTTCACTATTTGTAAACATTAACAATAATATTAAATAAATGTTACCCTCACTGTGGCTTTGACTGAGTTACTGTCACATCTTCATAATTAAACTAGAATATTCCCTTCCGTAAATATTGCTATATATATCTGAACTGTTACCAATTAATCTTTCTTTGGTGAAAGAAAACCTCAGGGATGGAGAATAGGCCCGTACTTAATTTAGTTGGAGGGGGGAGGGGTGAGCACAACCAAACAACATTTTTCAGTTTCAGGTTGGGGGAGGCTACAAACCAAAAAATTTTTAATAAGCAAAAGAAAAATACATTATCAGAGGTTATTATTGAGGGGGCCCAAAAGCAAAAGAAAAATAGATCATCAGAGGTTATTATTGAGGGGGCCCGAGCATAAAGGAGCAATGTTTTCTATAGTATACCTAAATTTCAGCAAAATTACAGGGGGCCTGCCCCCCCCCCCCCCGTTCCTTCAGCCATGTATTGTATCAAATCTGCTTCACCCTGATTCAGATTTTTTTTTCAGTCAGCATATATATTCTATTAGCAGAGGACCACATTATATTAATGAACAATTATTAAATTACAGCTATTTTTTTCTTACAGGGTCTGTTTCATTTATACTATATCATGATGATCATGTCCTGCATGATGTTTACAGAAATTAAGTTTAATTTAAATTTTTAAGCTAGAAATAGCTGCGTCAACTTGCGAGACTATTTTTTCAACGTTCGGCCTAATCTTTAAAATATTTAATTTGTTTGTGGACTTGCATAAAAGAATTAAAAAATATAGGGGCCTATCATTTAACTTTATTTCGAATTTCCTTCAGGATTTTATATAACGATTATTTAAAATCATACTTTTTCTCTTGGAAGCTAAATTACTAGGCAAAAAAACAAAAACAAAAAACAAACGAATGTTTGTCTTGTGTATTCTTAATTACAACTTATTACTGTATCATTTTAGTTACTTACCCAAATTTCTCAACATCCACGGTGTTCAGGGGTCATTTTCTGAAAACTGAAGGGGCATTCCGATGGCATTCGGAACAAATGACGGAAAGCACTTGCTAAGAATTCAAAACATGGTTCATAAATTTACAATATTTTTCCTTTTTAGGATTTTAACATAAAACATGGAAAACTAAGTTAAAGAAACACTCATTTGAACAAATCAAAAGCGGAAAAAATATATATGCTAGATTTTTTGTTTAATTGCATGTTTTTCATGGTCTCCAAAATGCAGAAAAATTATCCTTTGAAATTATACGTAGGTTATAAATTCTTTTCTTTTTTAGGGAAGATGATAGAAATTAGACAACTTTTGAATGTTAAATAACAGAGTTAAAGATTAATAATATTTAATGACAGACTGTTTATTTATCTATAAAAAGACATTTGCAATACTGATGAGGTCAAAATAATAGGGAGACCGAAAAAGGTCGCCTTAATCCAGTGGTCTCCCTAAGCCAGAAAATATATCCTCCTTGGTCTCCTAAAGCCATAAGTCATATATATATATATATATATATATATATATATATATATATATATATATATATATATATATATATATATATATATATATATATATATATATATATATATATATTTACAAATCTTGCAAAACTTAATTTGGGAAAAACACAGATAATGATTTATAGACTTCTGTTGGTAAAATTTGGTGTATTTAATTGAATTGAGGTCTTATTTGCAAGGGTATTCAAGTACTTAAAATAAAATTTTACATACCAGGACAATTATGCAAACTAGCTTACACAATGTACCACTATGATGAATAATGCAATTCATCAAACAAGGAAAAGAATATGTAGTGTAAAAGTTTTAAAATGAATGTATTTTCATTCATAGATCCTCTCCCACATATTATATTGTGTTATAATCATAATTATTTTTTAGCTACTTGAAAGTGACGCAGTACCCAGATCAAATTTCAGCGAATTTAGACTTGATTTCGTAAAATGTAACATTGATAAATCGGAAAAGCCATAGATAAAACATTTACTATTATTATCAATTGTATAGACGTCATTGAGTCTTAGGCTAAAAGAAGCACTCCACCACGACGTGACGTCTATAAATAGAAAAATTGCCTTAATGAAAAAGTGAAAAGTTCAACACTACCCAGGAGATAATTCATTTTTTTGAGTGAAAATGATTATGTAAAAACATCACTGGGCCATGAAAAGTGCTGCTAGAATCCTACTCTCCTGACACAGAAAAAAATATTCCAAAGTTTCGCATGAAACCTTACCAAAATTTTTACATTTTATACATACGATCAAGGAATTGTTATTAATTCATGTTAACCACTCGATTCTAGCAGCACTTTCCAAGTACTATTGAAAACAAGCTTTCGATACAAACAAAAATTATGTTTCAAAGTATGCGGTGTAGTGTTAAACTTTTGAACCTTTGTTGTTATAGAACGACAGAGGAAAGCCTGATCGGGATTTCAAAGCACTGCCTGTGTTCGTTATAATAAAACATGATAAGAATATATCAGCGTACCTGATTCTTAATCTTTAATTCCTTATGAATCACATATAACATTCACGGTATATGCTTTAAAACTCCCATTTCATATATTTGTTTACATGAATTCTCGTCACCTTTAATTTCACTCGACAAATATTTGATCAATAGTTATGACGTCATGGGTTTGGTATTTAACCCCCGTGCTAAATAAGTAGCTATTTATACCACCCAAAAACGACAAGATTTAGTTTATATTATGTTGTGAATGATTCCATTCATTTCTTGGACCTGAAATTAAACTTTAAATATAGATATTAAGAAATCATTATTTCTAAAGTTCACGTCATACAGCTTACTATGACGTCATATTGTAAAGGCAAGTAGGATATCTCTGGGTGTAGCCTTAACATACCCGCGGAAATTTTTTCTGGTTCATACACAAGTTTATCTGCACATGTTTTTATAAAATTTAAGAACCTCCGCATTAAAAATATTTAAACCAGATTCGTTTAATGCTGTGAATAATACAAAATCAATTATTTGGTTTAATTATAAGGCTTTGTTCAATACACCTCTATGATTATCTTATCAAAGGCAATGCGACTTTTATTTCTGGCTTCCGTCAATTTAGAGGAAATTCGGATTGTGAATTACTTCTAATAGTACGTGTATGCACATAAAACCCAATAAAAATTATAGTAAATAGTTATACACAAAACATCATACTTTTATTGTAGTATTAAACTTATTTTTCTTGACCAAGTGTTACTACTTACCCTTTTATCACCAGTTTCAATAACATCAAGCCGTGGCGAGGCCTCAGCAGTGGACTCCATAGGACGTTTGGTGATCAGTTGATTCAGATTGAAAAATATCGCGGGATTATTGCTATTAAATTAATTTAATATTTGTCTTAAGATTGTATTGAATAATTTAACCGCAAGAAATACATTATTCGTATTTGTTCCCGACTGAAATAAGAATATCTACTTGCTGTTTCGTTTTGTGAAAAACGAATCTGTATTATTAGTAAACCAGCATAATCCTGATTTTAAGTAGGTCAATGCTCGTTTTTAAATAGGTCAATGCTAGCTATGCTAGTTCTATCCTTTGCTTGCTGATGCTGATCCGGGTAATGCTGTTTTTTAAATGCTGATGCTGATGCTAGCTCTATCCTGATGCTACTAATGCTTATGCTGATGCTGGTTCATGTAACAAAATTAGTTCCCTGCACTGTATCTATTAAACATCTGGATTATTTTTTATGATGTTTAATCAGTACGGATTAATAGCCTGTTTGAAATTGTGGTAATTAATAACTGCATCTGTTACTGGCGGTAAGTAATTATTACTTATTAGGTTTACTACTGACTGTCAACAGAAATTTATATCGGGTATAACAATCACATAGACAGTGAGACTGAGCCTGATATATTTCTGTAGACAGTCAGCAAGAAATCTAATAAGTTATTTCCTAGGGGATCATAGTGTGAAAGACATAAACACAACAGCCCTGTACCAAAAAGGGGGGGGGGGCAGCCACCAGAGAAAAATTACAAGCAGGAAAAGATATGAACTTCTAAAACTCCAGATGGGTCAAAGCTTCCTCTTAATTGCTTGGATTTTTTTATGCAATCACATGGCACACTTTCGGACACAGAATCTACGGGACACCTTCAATCATATTCTAAATTATGAAACGGCAAAAAATGTAGGAGGACTTCAGAGAATGAGGTTTTGTAGAAAAACGTCGTTTCGACCCCATTTGGGTCTCACAGGTGAAATGAAAATTTCAAAATCTTTTTGCACAAGTATATGTACAGGTACCACCGATCATATTTCTAAAGATGAATTGGCTTCTGCTCAAAATGTAGGAGTAGTTCAAGGAAGAAGAT